CCAATCCATCCTTTGGGCAAACATTAAAAGAAAAACATGCAATGAGTACTGGTAGGGCTCATAAAAGCTGCCAACTTGGCTGCAAGTAATGCTATTAATTCATTATGAAAAAGGGCATTAACAGGGAGGATCAAAAAAATTTAGGCTAGAAACCAAAGCTAAGGTTCTTGTCATGTACTTAGCTAGAGCTTCAACACTAACAAATAAATGCAAGACAAATAATTATCAGTATTCTCATTAATATGCTTGGATCTAATGAGTCATTAGATCCAAGCATATTGCACACCATATTAAAACCAAATGAAATATCCTGCTTCCAGCCTGCTCCATACAGAATGTTCCATACCAGATTGAAACAAGATTATATGGCCCAAATTCCAACCAACCGACCAAAATTTAACCTGTTTTGGGTCAACCCAACTAATCCAATTTTTGTTAACTGGTTTAATCATGTTGCAGCTATTTAGGAGACAAGCAGCCAACAACAAGAAGGGATTCCTTTAATGAGTTAGCTCATCCTCGCAGGATCATAACTCTTTGTCCCTGACAACTCTTTCAATATTTCATAATGCATTCCATTATTGTATTCCATATGTTATTAGTATCATATTTTAAATTCCACATTTTTTAAATATTTTATCCAAACATTTCTAATTTCTCACCTTTTGGATTCCACCAACAGTTCGTGGGTTTTAGAGTCTGTTTGGTGCAGCTTCTTGCAAGTTAAAAGTTGATAATCATAATCATAACCTAAAAGCACCCCTTCCCCTTCTTCTCAATAATCAGCTTATTTAAGCTTTTTATGCTATTTATGCCTCATAAGCTGTGCACATAAGTTGCACTCCAAAATAAAATAAAATAAAAAAAAGGCAATAAGCAGCCCCATAAGTTGCACCAAACAGGGTCTTTCTAGTTCGATATCACCCTGTAATGTATATATCTAGTATTGTTAGTCTATTTTGTAATCGAAGTCTCTCTGGGAACAACCTTGACAAGTTTGGCGGTCCTTTTTTCTTACTAAAAAATTTATTTGACTCTTATTGAACCAGTTACAAGTGTCTCTCTCTCTTCTAAAGAAAGCATTGGTTAATATGAGATCAAATGCTGTTGTGAAATTTAAAATGCCTATTCCAAACTCTTTTTGGTCACCAAAGAAAAGAAGTCACCTTCTTTTCTGTACAACTATCTGAGGGCATATAGTTGAGCATGAGAGTATTCAGATTGGATGGAATAGGACAAAATTGAAGCAATCAAGAATGGCAGCCACCAATTAGTGTTTTAAAATTGAGATTGCTCTTGGGGTTGACCAACTGCTATCAATGGTCCATGGAGGGCCACTCAAGGATTCCACCCACTTGACATATTTCTTAAAAAGAATAAGGGTTGGGCTTGGATGGACGAGTGCCACAAAGCCTTTGACGAGCTGAAGCAAGCCACATCAAGAGTGAAAGGAAGCATATGCATGGCGAAATTTTAAAAAAATTCTTTCGATTCTTAAAACCCATGATCATGTTTGTGATGTATACAACACTCAAACTCAACCATCCATAGAGATAGTTAGAATAAATACCTCAAGCACAAAATCCAATTCCACGCTTGATCCTTGAAGTCCACTCGAATCCAAAACCATTCAATTGTCTAGCCTCTAAAAGTATCCACACAAAGCAAAACTTGAATACAAAGGTACTCTCAAACTTCACAAGTTTACGAGTGTAGGAGTGCTAGCTCTTATGAAGACTCTTATTTATACAACTAGATAAAATTGTTCCATAAAATTAGTCTGTCTTGTCCTACAAGAAATAAACTTTATCACAATTAAACCTTTAATTAAGGTAAGGTCCTATTAACTCTCATAATTCCTTCATATAATGTCCTGAACAAGCCAATAGGATATAAAAAATTGTCGAACCCCCAACTCAATCATATGTGATCAATCTAACTGATATAACTCATATTGGTGAAATTATAAACTCTTTTCTAATTATCACCCTAGCCTAGTGTTACACGCCAGCCAAGCGAAAGCCTTGCCAAAGGGCTGCAGACGTGTGTGGTGCTAGTTTACTCTCTTTAACTATCCCGCCAAGCTCGCACAAGGGTGTTTACAAAGGCAAGCAAACACAAGAAGTTAGTAGGTGAGCGACAAGTTGGAGATGTGCCACAATATAACAATCAACTAGCTAAGTAAAGTAAGCAACAAGAAGCCACAACAATGCACAATATTTGTGTAACAGAATATGTTTGGTTGGCTATTTTTGGTGACAAATTTAATTGTTTTGGAGTGTTAAGTGTGAGGATATTTTCGTAAAAGTCTCGTACTCATCTATCCTATCACACAAGGAATCAAGCTTCGCTCCATTACTCAATCAGGTAAGGTTTGCACATATGTTTCAGTTGCATTGGAAAAAGTTTTTCACAAAAAGAGTTTTACAAGTATATAAAAACCTATCCTAAATTGGTTCTAAAAGGAATACAAAAACCTATCCTGAATTGGTTTTGAATAACTGTTTTTCGATATAAATGCCTCCATAATTTGTTTTACAGTATCTCAAATATTTTACACATAGCCAAAACTTGTGAGATCTCTAGAATAATTCTGAACTTCAATTCCTATATTTATGAGAGAAATTTTTTTGAGATAATTTGTCAAAAACCCTCAAAACCTTTGCATATCTTTGCATTGTTCATTCTACACTCAAGGCTGGTTGGGCAATCGGAGCTAAAGCTTTGTGGTGTCTTGAAGATCAAGAAGCCTGATTGGGTCAGACTCTGCTCATAGAGTTATTACAAGTCATTGTGTTAGGTAAACCTAAGTGAAGGTTGTAAGTCCTCTCGACTTTGTCTTTATATTCTTGGATCTTCTAGTGAATTTCAATGAGTGTTGGGACCATGGTTTTTTACCCTTTCGGGTTTTTCACGTTAAATCTTGTGTTCATGTGTGATTGATTATTCATGTGTTAATTGGTTAAATTGATTAAATTGAACATAAAATTGAAATTTTTAATTGGATAGCCTATTCACTCCTGTTTGGGACCAACCTTTGTACTTGGATAGCCTCTTTGACCTTATTGTCCTTCTATTGGGTCATCTTAAGCCATTCTCTTAACCTATATCATTCCTTATTTCCAGTTCATGGACTTGGGTTACAGGACCATGACAGGCACCAATAGGGTTGCCACTTGAATACAAAGCATCTAGCCTTTCACATACCCCATCACCCCAACATGGAAAACCCCTCATGCAATGTGTCAACATGGGAGACTGTCATGCCCAAAGCACAAAATAGTAGTGTGGAAGCAATCTTAGCCGATCTAATGACCACCTCTACAATGAGGATATTCAAGGAATTTATGGTTAAGTGGAAAGGGCCCGGCTATGATGAAATTAGTTGGGAGTGTGAAGCGAAGTCCCTAATATTAAGCATATAAGCATGAGGCCACCCTCATCTTAAGAGCTTAGAGCTAGCTTTTGGGGTGCGTTCTACCCAAGACCATGTAACATGGTATCAGAGCCGAAATATTCAGGGATGGGTAGAGTGCATGTCCCTGGCCTGCACGCTGCATGTGCTGTCGAGTGAGCACACTAGACATGATGGAGGGTGTGAAGTGAAGCCCCACATCGCCTGAATACTAAAATAATATTAAGCATATAAGCGCGAGGGCACCCTCACCTTAAGAGCTTTGGGGTGAGTTCTACCCAATAACATGTAACAGGGAGAAGGCATTAAACTTGATGGGGAATGAAGTTATTATGGATACAATTCTTACAGAAAAGTTCAATCCAAATCAAAACAGTGGACTGCATAAATGCTACAAAAAAATTAGTCATAAATTTGCCATAACATTAAATGCCAAAATAAATATATGTAAGATCAAGCTAATGCACATTAATTACATATGCCAAGGTACACCTTAAAGCAATTAATAGACTTTACAGTGATAAATGCATGTCTTCTAGCCCTTGGAGAGTAACCTAATACTTTTGTAACAACTAGGGACAAAACATTTTACATACCTGAATAGAAGATCCAATAATAGTGATGGCTGATGCAGGACCATTCAACTCTTTCTCCAACCATGTCCATTGCGAATTCCCCAAAATATTTCCATCACTAAACAAAGGGTCTCTGTGGTATCTGGTATCCAGGAGAGTAACCTGAAGAAGTTTATAACCCATAATTAGAACAAGGTATGCCTTTAGGTCTCACCTATATGCACATACTGCAGTTTTCTAATTGAGGTGGGCACGGAACACAAAAATGGATTTTCCAAGAGCAACGCACTGATTATAATTAGGATACAAAACATATCAACAATTATAATGAACAGGATGCATCTCTAGAACAATTCAACTTCAAATGAGAAGAAGTAACAGCAAAAGTTGCTGAAAATTATTCAGATTCAACCTTGACTTGTCTTCCTGCAGGGCCAAATGTGTAGGATGCATAAACACCAGCCTGCTTGCGCCTGCAACAACAGACATGAGAGAAATTCAGCAGCTGCACTGCACCCATGCAAAGAAATCAACTCTTGCTACTTCTTTTTGCACGGCAACCGTTAGTGTTAGCAGGTCAAGAAAATTAGTTTCTCCCTGCTTACAAACTTGCATAATTTGAAAATAATATGCAATACCCTTAAGCAGATTGTTTATAAAAAATAAAACATTAAAAATATAAAAGCATAGACAGCAATAACTCTGAATTGTGATTTTTCCCTCACCGTGGGCTATCTTGAGGTTCATCCAAGAAATCCAGCATAAGCCTTTGGTTGGTAATTTTCCGATCAAATTCTTTTCCTGCATCATTTAATCCATAGTCATGGTCATCCCATGTGCCAATTACCTACATCCTTCATACATAACTAGGTCAGGAGATTTTAACTAAAACTGTGAAGAGAATGTACGATTGCTACAATCAATAAATGCTTACCAGACTCTCCATAAAGGTATCATTCAAAAAATTGGCAGGTATAATAATATAGTAAAGCATAAGTTTGAGTGATTCACATTCTCTCGAAGACGACTGTATCCATCATTGCTCTTAGCCTTATCATATCTGGCCTGCATTTCATGCTCAGAGGAAGGAATGAATCTTGGAACATTCTTCCACGGCCCAATCGTCCTTTCCTTTCCAAATAACTTCAAAGGGCGCCAATGTCCCCATAGATGTTGTCACCCAGCCAGATAAAAATTTGAGGATCAAAGTCTATTATTGCATTCCATATAGGCTGCAGACAACCACTAATTTTCAGTGAACTTGAAAAAGGATTTTGTTATCCATTAAATATGTTATAGCTAAAAATGCCACTTAATCACAATCTACAACATATCTGATATAGATATATATATCTACTACTTTAAAAAGTGGAAGGAATCTGAGTGTTTTCTACATTTTCATATTCCACAAATGCCCATAATAAGGAAAAAGAATTACATAACCAATTTTCCATATGTCGATTCGAATGATTGTGTCTTTTCTCAATTGCCCCTCCTAACGCTTGGAACAAAAGGAAAATTCAAATAACCAAATCATTTATAACCAGAACATTTATCATTGCGTTTGGAACATTGATAGTCCATTACCAATTTTGTTTCATGTCAGACTACTTCATATACTGTTGTCTACAAATCCATCATAGTGAATGAATTCCTCAAAGATTATCATGCCTGCACCATCTAAATCCGTGACAATCAAGATTTATGGTAACTACTCCTACTTTCTCTTTGATTGATTTTTTTTGTTTGTTTTGATGTTCCACTACTTGGGAAGTCTCGACTCTAGGTGATAACACCATTAATGTTGGAAGCAATTGATCGTGCAACTGTCAGAAATAAAATGGGCATCTTCAACAATCTATCTTTTGGCAATTTGAGAAAAAAAATTATGAGTATTGGGATACATGTACTTACTTGTGATGGGTGCAATTTTGTTTTTAAACTATTAGATGGTTTAATGATTGAGAGCAATGTGATGAATGATGAAAAAATTTAATTGTTTTAAATAGTCATTAGATAGGACAATTAAAAGGCATTACTGAAAAAATAAAAAAATAAAAATCACATCAAATGAAATGTATATTTTATATATAAAATTGAAGTATAATAGATAATTCCACTTGTGTCTCAATACCTGTTGGATCTATATTTGTATAGCATTTCAATTTTTATATTAGATTTAGGATAAAAGACATTTTTGGTGATTAAAGCATTCATTTCTTGTTACTTTGGTCCTTTAAGTTTTAATTATGTTAATTTCACTCTCAAAATTTTCAATTTGGTCCAATTTTAACATGCTCCCAAACCACACCGCCTTTGTCCAACCACAATCAAACAATAAGTGTTCTACTGATTCTTCTTCTTTCAGACACACAGGGCACATGTTAGATGCAGTACATCTACATTTAGATAGGTTTACCTTAGTTGCTAGCAAGTTCTTGCAAAATCTCCACCAAAAATGGAGGATTTTTGGTGGTACCTGAAGAGTCCAAATGTGTTTCCAGAAATTAGGGGGGAGGAGAAAGGAGGAAGAAGGTTGGTCAGGGGGAGGACTAGATGATAAAACTTTGGCCAACTGGTACCCTGATTTCACTGTATAAACTCTGGATTTGTTTGGATGCCAAAACAAGCATCGTCACAACCTTCAAAGGATAATTGAACGGATTTAATGGCCTCTAGATCAGTTGCAGAAATGATGGATTGAATTGATTCCAACTTTCATTGGTTGTGGACTTGGTCTATAACATCTGAAACCAGAAAAATATCACAATCAGAGGGTTTATTGGAAGATATCTTGAAATTACTGGTGGTAGGAATCCAACAATCATCCCAAAACCTTACTGAGTTTGCTGGTTGTAGGAATCCAACAATCATCCCAAAACCTTACTGAGTTTCCATTGTGAATCTGCCACTGAGACCCTTTTAGCAATAGTTCTCTGCCTTTCAACAAACTTGCCCATGCCCATGATGTTCTGGCCCCTCTAGACGCATGCAAGAAGTCTGAATTCAGGTAATACAGCCCTTTAAAGATTCTTGCCCAATAAGAATTGGGGTGTTTAATTAACCTTCAACCTTGCTTTGCAAGCAAAGCTGGATTGAATTGTGAAAAAATTCTGGAATCCCATACCCCCTTCCAATTTTGGTAAGCACATAGATTCCCACTTGGCTCTGTTTCCCGGATCTCCTTTCCACCAATAATTTTGAATAGCAACATCCAACTTGTGGCAAAAGCTCTGGGGGAGATAGAAGCAAGCCATATCGTAGGACGGAATAGCTTGCACCACTGCTTTAATAAGAACTTCTCTGCCGGCATGAGAGAGCAAGTTGTTTTCCCACCCTTGCATCTTAGAAACCATTCTTTCAATCAAAAAACCGTAAGCATCTGCTTTCGATCACCCCCACATCGTAGGTAAACCCAGATATTTGATGTTTGGTCCGGCCCTGTTGATACCCATTGTTCCACAAATCCCCTCTTTAAGCACCTCTGAAGCATTGGCCGAAAAGACAATTTCAGACTTGTCCAGGTTGAGAAGCTGGCCCAAAGCCCTGCTGTACACTTGAAGAATATGGAGCATATTCTGACATCCAACAGTGTTAGCCTTGAAGAAGAGGATAGGACATCGGCCAAAAACAAATGAGATAAGATTGGACAAGTTCTTCTCATCTTTAGTCCCAAGATTTGCCTTAGAATGAATACCACGAGCTATCAATTTGGACAAGACATCGGCCACAAGTAGAAAGAGGTAAGGGGATAGAGGGTCCCCTTGCCTAAGTCCACAAGGAGTGAAAACAGCTCTTTTCTCCCCACTGGCAAAGATTGAGAAACTTACCGTCGTGACACACTCCATCACCCACTTCACCCATTACCCCAACTTACTGAGAACCACTTAAAGAAAATCCCATTGGATTTGATCATAAGCCTTGTTGAAGTCCAATTTCAAGGCTAAATCCAACCTCTCCCCCCGATTCTGATTTCTCAAGAAATGGGATGCTTCATGCGCTATCAGAATATTGTCCTGAATCAAACGGCCAGGTACAAAGGCTGACAGATTAGGTGTGACAAGCTGTTTGAGAATTCTCGTGCCTATTAGCCAAAACCTTTGTGATGATTTTCATATTGAAGTTGCAAAAGCTAATAGGGCAATAATGGTTAAGTGTCTCTGGAGCCGCCACTTTTGGAATGAAGATAAGATTAGTGTGATTCCATTCTCTTGACACAAACCCTTGATTGAAAAAACTCCAGACTGCTAAACAAACTTCTGGACCAACCACTTCCCAATGCTTTTGGTAGAAAATACCTGAAAAGCCATCTGGACATGGGGCTTTAAGGGGGCCCAATTGGAAGGCTGCCAATTTTATCTCAGCATCAGTGAGAGGCTTGGTAAGGTCTGCATTCATGGCTTCAGTAACCTCACAATCAACAACCGATAAAGCTTCTGTCATGTCTCTAGCTTCCGAAGCCTTAAAAAGCTTTTGGAAGTAAGAGAATAGCTGGTTGTTTATGGCTTCATCCATATCACACCATTCCCCAAATTCAGTCTTGAGCTTAACCATCTGATTTCTTTGCCTCCTTTGGATGACAGTGGCATGAAAGAATGTTGTGTTTTTGTCTCCATACCTCAGCCAATTGACTCTAGACCACTGATGTTGATACATCTCTTCCCTTCCCAGCACCACTTCTAACTCACTTTGAATATTATGAATCTAAACGAAGTTATCATATGTGTATGGTTGAGCTTGAATCTTCAGCAATGCTTTTTTCAAAACACCTATTTTTATTCAGTTATCCCCAAATTTTTCCTTGCTCCAACTGGACTACTCTCTTCTGCATTTCTTAAGCTTTTTTGTGAAGCGATACATTGGGGACCCTACGTTAGCTATAGCCAGGACGATTGGATCACTTCAGAGCATAGTTGTCAAATCGAGATTCGTATCATGGATCGAAATGGCCTCGTACCGAATTGCAAATCGAATCGAATTGTGAATCGTAAAGATTCGGTCACTTTTTCTAAATTACTTAAAAACATATATCTACACATTTAGATGTTAAATATATATTAAGAATATGCAATATTTAAACTTAAATCAATGAAAATGTTATTTTGAATGATAATCGTGTAGTCTAATAGGTAAGAAGTTAACAAAGGTTCCTAGGTAAGATAACCATCTTACTTTTTTTTTTTTTTTAGATATTTCTTATAAACCATTCTTAACAAAGATAATAACCAAATAGACAAACTATCAATTTCCAAAGTAATAATAATTAACAACAATATTGATATTTGGACAATAAGCACACATACTTTTGTAAGTAACAATGAGTAAATAACAAGAAAGAATTATTTAGAATCTTTTATTTTAAAGCCTAAAACATTTTAAAATGTCTAACTTATCTCACACATTTAATATTCAATCTAATAAAATAGCAATAGATAATTCATAGTGTAACTTTAATCTTAAACATCTTTAGAAGATATATTATGATTTTTTAAAGGAAAAAAAAATGAGAAGAAAGGTTAAAAATATGTTGAGTCTGACTGAATCTAATTGGATCCTATTAAAAACTCTATGATCACTAAAATAACAACAAATCATGTATATATGTTGGTTATTCAACACTATTAAAAGTTGTATTATGTCATTTTTACTAAAAAGATAGAGAGAGAAAAAATTGAAAATATGTCAGACACAACAATTTTAAAAATTGTATGAATCGTAAAAAGTGAATCGAATCGTAAATCGATTGTGAATCATGCGAATCGTGAATCGATTGTGAATCATGCGATTCACAAGAGATTCACTTTCAAAATAGATTCACCCATAGATTCGTATCGATTTTGCAAAAATTGCGAATCAAATCGTAAGATTCTGATAACAGAGCTTCAAAGCATTCCAGGCTAGTAGTCCACATGGATTTGAATTTGAACAGGCGTGGTATCTTCTTGGGAGGTATGTGACAGTGTAGAAGAAGGGGCAGTGATCAGACCCCACCATTGCTTCATGATGCACTTGCGCATGGGGTACAATGGTCTCCAACTTACTATTGCCAAAGCTTTGTCTAGTCTTTCCCTCACGTTGTTGACACTCAATTGGTTGTTAATCCATGTATATGGTGCACTTTTAAACTCAAGGTCCATTAACTCACACTCAGATAGTAGGTCTTGAAACTGCTGCATTCTAGCATTATTATATCTTGCAGAACCCTGTTTCTCCCATGACTCCCATGACTAGC